TTTACTTTAGTTTTGATGCAAAAACGCATAATCGCACCGGCTCGCCTGGTGCGTTCCAGCCTTTGTCTTATGCTGCAATCTGTTCAAGTGCTTCAAATCTTCGACTAGGAAACCCGTCTGTTTAGGAAAGAATCCACTCTCGAAATACATAATTCCAGATAATAACTATCGTTTGCTCTGTTTAATCCCGTCATTTCTTCAGAGGTTGACTCAATGGTTATTCATTTTCTCGCCGATCACTGATCTGTGTTGTTCACCTGTTGTTCAGAACTGTGGGCGGCACAGTCTGCCAAACCGATATTACTTTCTCGCATGGTAGCAGTAGTATCCGCATGCTGCTCTGCTTCATCCAGAGAGTGTTGAGAGAGAAAATGTTGCCAGTGATTCGCTGGAACTATCAATCTTGTCGTAGACGAATATTTTATAATAAAAGTGAATGGCACAATACTGATGTTTCAGGCATCGCTAGTAGTGCTACGGAATATTTTGTAGATTTGAGGAAGGAGAATCTGCCAGAAGCAGTAATGGTTACGGCACTTTCGGACAATCATTTTTCCGAAGGGATGGAAATGGTTCGTCTAATAAGCTACGCCTTCTCGTTAAATGTAAATTATATCTAGAAGTGTCCTCGAGTTATCCTCTAAGCAGTGCTGCATTTTTTTCAGAGCCATTTTTTCAGAGTTAATTCCTCTGCTCATTAACAGAATTGTGACAAAAAGAGAAAAGAAATTTCTGTTTTTTAGAAAAAACGTGATAAATTCGCAAACTGAAAATAAGCAGCAGCGCGCACTCATTTGGCCCCTGCGATCCTGCCTTTTAAGCTGTTTTGTCCATTGGATTTTGGCTGTTAAAAATATTGGTTTGCAGTTTGGTGATTGCAAAAATAGTCAAAATTTTGTCTGATTCAAGAGCTAAAAAATTTTCCACCAAAAATTTCATACACCAGAACGCGAAATCAAAGCTTAGAAGGAAAATGAAATCAAATTTTTGAAAACACATGAAGGCAGAAACTCTTCCGAAAAAGTTTTTCTTGGATAGGAAGTAAATGTGCGTCAGAAGCTAAAACCGCACGTAGACAGGCTACCGATCGGCGCAAATTCCACAACTGGAGCGTATGAAATATCGCAAGGCACTTTTAGTAGCTCTTGGTCATTATGAAGTTTTTTCTGGATAAAGTTTTTAAGATGCTTGAATAACAGAATTATCTTACCGATATAACTGATAAGGCAGGGTGTCGCTGGCCATATTATTGAGCCTTCACGGCATTGATAGTACAACTTCGTTAAAACACTGTTTAAGAAACGTTTGAACTTTTGTAAATCCGGCACACTTCGTGTTCTAGTGCATTTCGTCAAATTCCGTGTCTCGCTGTGACGATACTTAACACCAAAAAATTCGTGAAAAAAATTAATGCACAAT